CCCGTTATTTTGTTATCGATAAAAAACCTTATCGAAAATCAGTTATAAAATTATATTTCCCACATCTTTAAAGCTAGAGTCGCCTGTGTATGTGTGTGTTTGTGTTTGTGTTTGCGTGTGTGCGAATTATTATTGAAACATCATTTGCTCGAAGGGTTCTGGGGATCTCGTAGTCGAGCTGTCTCGACTAGAGCTTTCTTACTTGTTTATTTAGTTTTCATTATATATTGTACAATTCATTGAACGAAATTCATACAACTCTTATTTAAACTATTTAAAATGCTCGATTAGGGCGTAAAATATTTGGAATCAACCTGTCGCAAAGCAAGCTTTTGGTCTACCCATGGTCTTAAATAAGAAACCTTAGCGTATACACCAGGTATATTCTCTTCGCCACAACCTATACCCCATGCGACTATGCCAGCGGATTTGAATCGATTTGGTTGATTTTTAATTGGACACACTAATGGTGAGCCACCATCGCCCTTACAAGTGTCCTTACCCTTTTCTCCCCCAGCACACATAAAGCTATCATGCAATATAAAATGCCTTCCAAGTCGTGTTTCCCGTAAATTGGCTTGGCATTTTGCGTTTGAAACGACGGGTAAATCTATTTTTTTCAAAATAACTTGATATTCGCCTTCCTTTCCAAATTTATTTTTTCCCCAACCAGTTGCGTAACAGCGATCCAGCTCGAATTCCTCTCCTACATTCGGTAGGCAAATAGGTTGAATATTCATTTTCAAGTTAAATGGGCTTTCCAGGAAAAGCAGTGCAACATCATTATAAAGTGATCCCTTATTAAACTGTTCGTGATATATTATCTCCTTAACATAACGATCCTCGTGTGGAATTATTTCTACTTTCGTCTGCGTATCCCATTCACCAGCCCGTACTGAAATCAATATAGGGTATTACAAATTATTATAAATAAACTGTTCAGGCAATCTTACCTATAAGGGATTTTGCATCCTTATTATGAACACAATGGGCTGCTGTCAATATAACATCTGGGGCTATCAAAGCGCCTCCACATTCATATAAGTTGAGTTGCGATTCTTCTCTTAAAATTGCAACCATCCATGGAAATTCTCCAAATTCTGCTTCTTGATCAATCGCTCCCGTTATCTTAAAACCAACTCCGTTAGGGTTTTGGTATCCACAGCCCCGATCAATAGGTTCGATTGTTATATCTGGCTTTTCTTTCTGGTTATACAAAATATATATACATATATATTATATTAATGATGTTTAATTTGTATACCCTGAACCAATTGAAAATGGGAAATCGGGGTATAATCGTTTTGTTAAATGTATTTAACAGGACGAAGGAGATGTGGCAGACCCAGCAAAGAGTATATATTCTCGACATGTTAACATTTTTTTAAGTGTCTAGCTCTTGTATCTTCTGAGATCGACCCGTTGAAACATACGGACAGACGGACAGGGCTAAATCGACTCAGTTCGTCGGCCTGATCAAGAATATATATGCGGCTTATCATTTATCATTTTGCCTCTAGTCGAGTCTGCTCGACTAGTAGATACACTGAGCCCTCCAATCTGATATTTTAATCACTTTGTACTTCTTTTAGGCACACATACATACACACGCACGTTTTAGAGCTCAGTGATAAACTCGATATGCGCATGAAATACACGGACCTAGGAAAAAAAATTCAAGAGTCTAGCTCTTATATCTTCTGATATGAACGCGTTCATACATACGGACGGACAGACAAACGGACAGGGCTAAATCGACATAGCTCGTTGTTCTGGGGTCTGCCCCACCTCCTTCTGTCTGTTACATACATGTCAATGGGTTCATCGTATAGCTATCTTAAAAAAAAAAAAAAGAACCAGAAATAATAGTTTAACTTTTACTTATAGTTAAAGTACCTTGTTGGGAATTTCACAACATAGTTCCAAATAATTTGAGCAAGTTCCGTCGAATCGAATATCTATTATATTTTCTCCACTAGTATTTATCGTATCATTCGCACATAACCATCGGGGCACACATTCCTTCTGTATACCACATGACTCATACTTGGTTTTCTCTTTAGCAGTCTCAGCTATTTGTGAAGGCCGCGTAGACTGGGTGGGATGTATCGGGGTTGAAGGAGTGGAACTGTCTGTTTTAAAAATCTCAGCAATAAGATCGTTTAACGAGGTATCATCGCCCAGGCAATAGCATGCAAAAAGCACTACAATAAAACACTTAATTTTCATCATGTTTTCTAAAAGAAACAAGGTAATTATTATTATTAGGTAATATTCTTCCAAGAACCTGTACAAGTAAATAAATTAAAATATTTCTTTAATAATAACCGTAGACCTTACAAGTTATATCTCATAATTGTGAGCATCGCATCCCATGTGTGCACACAATTAATAGGTTCTCAGTGAGAGTTAACAAACGTGTTTAATTTTGTGCTCTGCAATTTGGCTTATTTTCTTGTTAAATAATTTATTAAAGCTTAACAAAAGCTCCTTATATTTACTGTGCAAGGCTTGAGCCGTCGTTCACTGTGTCTTTTATAAACTACTTTTTATACCCTGAACCCATCGAAAATGGGAAATCAGGGTATAATGGTTTTGTT